TAGTTTCATAGTTTTGCAAGAGTAGCCATTTACAGGATCAAATTAGAGCTACATATTGTAGAATGTGTTTTGCCTATAAATTAGAGCTTGAGTCATTCAATAACATCTCACTCAACTTTTTATTACTATTTTAGAATGTGTTTTGTCTGTAAATCAAAGCTTGGGTCATTCAATAACATCTCACTCAACTTTTTACTGGGCATTATTGAGTGGCTATAAAGGTTATTATGAAAAATATTATGAATCCCAAATAATCTACTAAATTTTTTATCAAATCTCTCACGTGGAGGTGTAGGACCCATACAAACCCACATGTAATTTAGTAAAATATTTGATAGATTATTTACGATCCCTAACATTACTCTATATAGTCACAATGACCTAGAGATCATAAAATAGAATAAATGGTCTTTCATTTTATTGAAGAAGTTGATCCTTTTCCCAAAAACAAAAGCAAAAGAAGCCCGCAAAAAAAAAAAAAAAAAAAAAAAATGTGAAGATTGTATAGATTGTCCTTATTGATTGCATTAACCTATGGGGGAATTACAATTCAGGGTGTATGAGAAAAAAAAAATAACAAAATATGAGGAGTGCAACTCATTTTGTGATGGAGTGCAAATTCATACGCAGTGAAGATGCAACTCCAAATTGTACCCATTCATATTTGTGTAAATTGTTTTTGTCTGTTCCACTGAACTATAATTCCCCCCAACTTTCTTCTGGTGGCTCGAAACAAAATAGGTTTGAGATGTCACTGGATTAATAATATGATCCTCATTGAATTCAGAGGCAAGACCTGCTTGTTTAAGATGTCTGGCTAAACAAATGCACAAGAGAAAGGAACAAAAAAATGGGTAAGTACTCAACTTGAGATATGCCACAAATATATTTTTTTGGGAAATATCAAAAACATGGTGAGTAAGAAAAATAATTGCAAAGTAGCAAAAATACAAATTTCATTTGCAAAATCCAATGCATGATTCACTAATACATCCATTACTATGCAATCATTTTTCCTACCATGTCTTTGATATTTCCCCTATATTTTTTTTCCCTCTTTTACCAACTTAAATCCACTAAAATAAAACTGAGGCAGGGACCTTCAATTTTCCTCTCTTTTTTCCCTCTCTTTATTTTTCTTTTATTTACTCGTTTGGTCCAAGGAAAAAAGAACTGTAGTAACTTCCCTTCCCTCATCCCTCTATCACAAAGATCCCGTTTGCTAAAGCTGTAAGAAAGTAATTATAAATTATAACTTACAACTGTGAACATAAACTGATAATTTGTTTAGTGTAACTGTAAAATTATAGATTTAAACAACAGAACAGTGTTTGGTAAATAAGCTGTAAAATAATTTTTTGCTATATAATTGTCATTTTTATCCTTATAAATATAAAATTATAATTTTGTCATTTTTTTCCCTTTAAATTTTGAAAAAATTATTTCATTAATGAAAGTTGATTAATTAGTACCTAATTTGGTACATTTTTACATTACCTAATTTTTTTATTTTTTTATTTCTTCCAACTAGGCCACTGTCTGTTCTCATTTTTTCTGCAAAATGGTGCTGTCACTTTTTCACTATAATTCAAAAACCTAATGAAACTGAATCAGCTGTACTAAAGAGAGGAGGCCCAATGATAGTGGTAAAATCTCCAAAAAGATGATGAACACAATTGAAACAAGAGACAAAAGGGCTAATAACAATACGTGTGACCATTACTCAACAAATTTACATGTGTTATCAATCACAACTTGGTAAAATTTAATATTTACAGAAGCTAGAAGTATCTGGTTAACTACAAGAACAACAGAGAAGTCAAGTTGATTGCTTCTAAAATACTTATGCAAGAATTCTTCCTCCCCACAATAACTGTGAATGACTTTATAAACTTCAACTAGAAGTTGTGGAAATCGGCTTGGGAAATAGCTGTCAAATCCTTCAGGAATCTGCCCTAAAATTCTCTGAATTTCTTGAGGAAGTTCCCTATAGTGATTTAATTTGTTGCGGATGACCCGCAACAGGTAAAATTTAATATTTACAGAAGCTAGTATCTTGTTAACTACGAAAGAACAACAGAGAAGTCAAGTTTGATTGCTTCTAAAATACTTGTGCAAGAATTCTTCCTCCCCACAATAACTGTGAATGACTTTATAAACTTCAACTAGAAGTTGTGGAAATCGGCTTGAGAAATAGCTGTCAAATCCTTCAGGAATCTGCCCTAAAATTCTCTGAATTTCTTGAGGAAGTCCCCTATAGTGATTTAATTTGTTGTGGATGACCCGCAACAAGTCACGAGCACTGTCAAACTTATAACGTCTGTAGCGGCCAATATCATTGATGAATGCACTTTCCATCTTTTCATCCCATTTACCACCCAAAGCCACAGATGCAATGCTTCCCAATGCATTTAAGAGTTCAGATTCACTCTCCCTGTCTTCCAATTCTACCCAATCACTAGCATCTCGAAGAAATGAGAGTTGCATCTCAGCATTCCAAAACAAAGGATGATGCAATACATCCACAGCTTTTGGCCCAGACAGCATATACATTGATATGCATCACACACGGAAGAAAATGAACTGCTATGCTTGTAATTTATTTATTTTTAATAAAAAAAAATGGCCTCTTAAGCAGAGTATACATGAAATATATTGAAACAACAATTATAGCAACAATTCTCTTGGTGGGAATTCGAAGACAACAATTATAGCAAATGTTAGCCCATCTATTTCAGAGCATAGAAATTCAAGAATTCATTTCCAACAATCTATCTTTATTCTTGGAGAATATAATAAGCCCAAACCCCATGACACACACAATTCATTTTCAATAAGAATACACCTTAAAATGCAAGCAAGATTACCATCATTACATCACCACATTACCCAAACTCCCATTTCACAGTAACTTCCTATGGCAAAAATAAAAAACCATGAATGTCCTACTAAATATGACAAATGACAGCTCAAAAGTGTCTTGAAAACACATTAGATTTTTTAGAATTTAAAAACCGAATTCCAGCAAAGATGAATGCAACTTTTATTCAAGATCCACAATTTTTTTCTATTTTCTTTTCAAGCAATGACATCACATGTACCGTTCAACTTCTTTTCCTATTCTCTTTTCAATCAATGACCTTGAGCATGACCAACTCTCATAGTTTGATTGGTGGTGATTACAAAGCCCAACAACAAATAACCACTGCATGACCAATTACTAGTGATTCCAGGTTTGCACACGCAGTGAGCCAATACCTACTTGTCACTCTCCTAAACAACTCAATAAGCAAAGAGGTCATAATCATTTGGCACCAAATCAGCTCCCTGTTTTAAGTTTGACTTACTGTTTCACCAGCAAAACTCCACCAACAGACTGACTGTCCAGGCAAGAACAAAATTATTCAAGGGGTCATAATCTTCTTCTAAGTATATCACAATTGAAACTCCATTGACCGAAAAATCCCACCAGCTAGAGTGACTTCAAAATTCTAATGATTTTTCCCCAAACAGATTTCTATAGAAAGTTCAATGGCAAGTACCTACACAGCTTAAAAGTGTGAATTGATAAATTTTTTTTTTTTATCTTGTCTACTTTACTAAAATTGCTGAGGCTATCTAGTTATGAGATAAATTAGAAAAGAAAACCAAACTAAACAATAGATAGATAAATGCTGGATGATGAGCAAATCTAAGAAGAAAGGAATCAATGAACTAGCAAATGGAAAAAGCTTAAACAGACAAGGGGCTTTCAGTCACCATGCTGTTCCATCAAATAGAAAACAGAAAAACACAATTTGACCAGGCCACATCTTGCCTTTTCAAACTTCAACATGGCCCTGATCCCAACCCACAGTCTCTGTAATCCATTAAATTGGAGATAAACAAGATATACTTCCCAAGTAATTGAACAGAAATTGAGCAGAAATTTTGATTTAACGCTACAAATCTACTATTATCCAAACAACCACCATTATAAATCATTCCCAAGTATTAAAACACATAACAGAGGGGAGAATCGAAACAAGAGAGAGAGAGAGAGAGAGAGAGAGAGAGAGAGACGAATAGAAAGAAGAGGAAATGATGAAGAATCTTACCTGAATACTCAGGTGTCGGACTCGTCCAACGGCTGCGAATGGTGGCTGGAAAAAAAAAGTAAACAAAAAGGATGATGAAAATCGGAGAAGAAGAAGAAAGCGGAGAGAGGAACAGGGAGTGTGATCTGATTTTGGTCTGTGTAAACCCTAACTCAATGTGTGTGTGTGTGTGTATCACAAACAAAAGGCATGAACTCTTACCTTTTTGGTGCAAATCTTGGATAAATCTTCGACTTCGATCGGCTGATCTTGGAGAGATGTGGAGGATCGTCTTCAGTCGCCAACGAAATGAGAAGAGGAGTGTGAGGAGAGGAGCGGGCTAGGGCAACAAAAGAGGGCTTATATAGTGGCATAACCGTAATTGCTGAAGTTTTGGAGGGGCATGCATTTCAGTCATTTCATGACCCTCCAATCAGCTGCACGCTTAAGCTATAATTTGTAAGCATCCCCTGAGCAACTTCTCCATTTGAGCTGAAAATAGCTTTTTTAAAAGCTATAATTTTATAGTTTAAGTTGTACCAAACACAACATTATAGCTTAAATTAAGTCAAAAGCTGAAATAAGCAGCTTATAAGTTTTACTAAACAGGCCCAAAGCCCCTCTCAAATAAACGCATCCTACTCATTGTATATTGTATGAGTAGAGAGGTAACTAAAAACCAAAACAAAGGATGGATTCTCATGAGTTGGTATGGCTTTCAAACAAGGCAAGGGTTGGCACAATTGTTGGGGCAAAATTTGAATGAATAGACGACTGCTCCCAAATCAAGATTCCCTCTAGAAGCAGATATTTATGCATACATTGTAAATTACCTGTCCTAATAAGCGACACCCTATTTCTAGGCTTGGAAGACGCTACGAACAAAATACAAAGAACAGAAAAAATCAAACAGAGAGAGGGATGTAGTAAAATAAGATGAGATTGAAAAAATTTCCTTAACATTACACTTCTGTTTATATGTGTGCGCGCGCGCACCTGCTCGTGCAAAAATTTCAGAAGAATGTCTCTTAATCTATTCAGAATGATCTTTACAACCTTGCATTTCTTCTCTGAGAATGGAAACTAAAAACATTAAAAAAAAGTTCTCCGTGACTTAAATGGGGTTGACATCTGCCCCCATACACCACCTAATTTGCACCAGAGATCAACTGCCAGAGGCCATTTACAATGAACAAATTGTAGGAGAGGAGCTTTTAGATGTAAAAAAGCATTATCTTCTCTCTCCTCAATGGACATAAATAGCAACAAAGTAAGCTAAATGCCTCCTTTTACCTACAGTTATCTCAGAACCATGAAAACTTTGCAGTTCAAATGCAACGACTTTTACTAGTCCGTGAAAGGAGTTGCTCTAGAATTCAGGCCAGAGATTCAGCTACTATTTCCTTTTGATTGTCAAAGATCCGCTCCTTAGGTGTCGCACTCCGTATGCTGCAGTGGAAGCTACTGTCGTTGAAGCCACCAACCAACTACACCAACAGATAAAGTGCAGTGAGTTTACAGTGTTTTATTTCTTGAAATATATCAAACATAGAGAAGAGCTTCACCAAACAATAAAATCTACGAAATTTTCGAAAGAGAAAAATAGGCAGCTAAAGAAATGAATAATGTACCTCAGGTAAGTGATGTACGACTCAGTTTCTAGGGTTCCAAATTCTGGTTGAAGAAGAACTGCAGCAACCAAGACCAATTGGAAAACTGTATTAACCTGTCAAGAATTGCAGCTCTCAGCAAAAACCAAAAAGACAAAAGCTATGAAGTACCGACACTTCAAAATGGGTTCCATGTTCCTCCAAGACACTTATGGGACATGGACTGTGTCAATTTTTTTTTAATTATTATTATCTGTAAGACATTTTTTGGACAATTCATACCCACCCTTGTCCTGTGTTTGGGCAGGACACCCTTGTGAGTTTCTTTTTAATAGATTTATAGGACTGGTTTGGGGAAAGTAAAATATACGAAAACAAATTGGGAGGAAAGTGAAAACAAATAAAAAAACACACATATATATTGATGCCTTTTATATCGCTCTGTCCTAAATTTATAATCATATACATAAACGCTACTTTATTTTTTCTTCCTTCTCTTTTTCACCCATCAAAAATTTCACTTAAGAGGCAATTCAAAGGCATGACATAGCTTACCTTCAATTGTCAAAACACTAAATGAACTTTCTTAGCCAAAAAAGACCAACTTTATTGCTACAACTCAAAAAATTAGGATACATTAGAATACAAGGGTTTTAGACCAAATTCATAAAACCTCTTCCTTTTCTTGTAACCTACAATCCTTCCCTCAAGATTTTTCTTTTAAATAGCTTATAGGTCGTGAGACGTCAACCTTTTAAAGTTCTGGTTGTGTGTGCTTTCTCATTCTTGCCACAAACAACAACAAACAAACAAACAAAAAGCTGTGCTTATAGGGGAGAAAATTAATAGGATGGTAAAACTTTAGTACAGAAAACCTAACAAGGTAAGTAAACAGTTCTATCTTATTTGAGATGCTCCATTAACAAAGCTTGAATAATCTAGTTGAAGAACACAAAGCTTACCTTGCTAATAAACAGAGGCTCAACCTTCAGCGGACGGGTCCCATCAATATTGAAGAAGTCAAACCAACTTTTCCACTGAGATAAAAAGATTCAGTTCGGAAAATGTAATACAATCAACGTTCAACGCAACTATGCTAGGCCAGGGTAGGTAAACTCACCTCCCAATCCAAACTGCTAGCTCTTTTATACGCTGCGCCCCCAATGAGGGCAACATCTCGCAGCACAACAAGCCCAACGAGTCCAGCTTCAAAACCCAAAAGCTTTATAAGAACAGTGTGCCAAAGACTAATACAATATAGTACTCATGTATGTGTGTACATATTTACACCCTAAGCTATAATTAGTCAAAGTCAGGCCCTATCCTCGAAAGCACAAGCAAACTTGATTTAATCAGGCCTCCGTCATAATTTATGAGACTAAAAGAGGGACAACTGCACAGAGAAAAAGCCTTTGCCCTTACAGAAATAACAAGCCATTTACTCTTTCCATATATGGCATACTCATTACTCAAATGTTAAGAATACCACTAACAACAAAGAAATACCATTTCTACTTACGGTGTAGAAGGCCCATATCAACCATTGCTAAAGCAACACATCCAATCAGGACCTGTATTAAAGGGTTCGAAAAAAACTATTAGACAAATTCAACCACCAAGTAGGTTCATATGAACCACAAAACAGCCCACAATTACAAAACTCAAATTGGGACATTAGCCAGTCCCATGTGACACGAGCTTCAAGGAAGAAAAGACACATATATTACCTTGTCAGCAAGAGGGTCAAGATAAGAACCGATAACAGAATTGATTCCCATCTTCCTAGCCACGTATCCATCAAGCTACAAGATGAACAAGAATAGAGAAAAATAAGAGTTCACTCTCATACACTCCATAGTAGTATTGATAATATGAAAAACTAATAGAGTATTCATACCCAGTCAGTTGCTCCAGAGATAGCCAGCCCCACAAATGCAGGGATATACATTTCGTGTAAGATCATCCTGCAAAAATGTAGTCAAGTTTCATAGAAATTCAGTGCAACCCGATCAAGCATTCGTTGAGTGACAGGAAATCAATATTCAAGTAAAAAAATGGTTTTTGCCTAAAACTTTAAGTGAAAAGTAAAAGGTGATGCAAAATTTCAGGCATGCATTCAATTTTCCAAGATCAGCCAATCACAAAGAGAAAATGACTGTATTATGTTACTTTGAAGTTCCAAGTTAAAAAAACCGAGAAAAGTCCAATGTAAACCAATGCCAAAGCATACACAAACCAAGAATCGATACAACTTGCATGAAATTGAGAACAGGTTAAGGGATAACAATACCCAATTATGGAAGGCCAATCAAATCAATCATGAAAACAATATACCTTTCAAAAAGCCTACTCTTTAACAACTCCAAACACAGACGGAATGACTTTATTGGTTGCAATAAAATCACCTTTTGATTAACTAACACCAACAATCCTACTTAATTTCTTGCTTGCAACTTCATTCAAATAAAACACATCTATCCCATGGCAATAGACCATCTCCTTCCTTAGTCCTTCACAATTTACAAGATGCACATCAAATGTGTACCTACACTACATAGAAAACAGCTTCACAAAATTAAAAAACCCAGATCGCCGAAACCTGCAAGGTGTCCACCTATGAAGCACGGATACTTCAAAAAGGGTGACGTATCCGTATCGGATACTTATAGGATACCGATACTCCTCGGATACTCGCGGATACGTATCGGATACTTCTTAAAAGTATCGGATACTTCTTAATTAATTTTTTATTAATTTTGAAGTATCGGATACTTAATTTTGAAGTATCGGATACTCGAAGTTACATATTACTTATAATATTTTGTTTAGTTCTTTCATAAGAGGAATATAGTGAGAGCTTAAGTAATAGAATTTGTCAAATTGATGTATCCTTGTTGTCTCTCTCACTTCTCTCTCGCTTTCTCACTCTCTCACATTTCTTCTTTCTGCTCTCATTCTTTTTTTGATGTTGGCATGTAAGGATAATGTTTAATTTGCTTTTGCTTTTGCTTTTAGTTTTGGATGTTTTATGAATGTTTGAGCACTTTTAGGTTAATAGGAATCCCTCTCTTTATTTATTAATTTACTTTAAGTTTTATTTTCATGCATATTACATTATTAAAATTATAAAAAAAAAAAAAAAAATTATGAATGTATCCCCGCTGTACCCGTATCATACTTTTTCAAATTTTGACATATCGCCATATCCACATCCCCATATCACCATATTCGTATCCGTGCTTCCTAGGCTATCATTGATGACTTAAAAAAGTATATTTGCTGAAATTTTTATTTAAGAATGGCTTTTTGGCTTTGGCTTTAGCTAAAGTCTTGTGATATTCACTGATGAATGGGAACAAGTTGATGCTATTGACCTTGAAGACTCTTAGTTTTGTAGGAATCTTTCTTCTTTATCAAGTTGTCTTTTACTTTAAGTTTTATTTTTATGCATACTGCATTACTAAAAATTGTTAAAATAATATTTTTTACGAACGTATCCCCGCCGTACCCGTATCCTAATTTTTCAAATTTTGTCGTATCGCCGTATCGTATCGTATCCGTATCCGTATCCCGTATCCGTATCCGTACTTCCTAGGTGTCCACACTGGATAGCAAAGAATCATAAAACCATAGATTTGGTGTCCAACTAATCCATGGGTTATATTTCCCCCCATTCCAACTAGAGCAGCAGGTAGCAAAAAAGTTTTTTCTTTTTTTTTTTTTTTCTCCCTACTAAATCATCTTCCACTTTTGTTTAAAATCAACATTAACACCACTCATCCATCAACATCCCCAGATAATGAACCTTAATATTCTTTGAATTGCATTGTTCCATAAGGAATTTTTTTCTCTCCCTGAGTTTCTGTTTACATAGATGTTTCAAAACATGTATTGTAGATAGCTTCACTTATACATTTTGCCAAGTAGTTCATATTGAACTTTTTTTGTAACAAGAATTAATGCATTATACTATTGCAAAGTTAAGGTAAAGATTAATCAAGCTCTCTAAGACCATCTCCAAACATTCACCAATTTTTTCATCTAATTTGATTTCAAATTTGAGTAAAAAGTTTGATTTCTCCAATCCTTTCATCAAATTTTCATCAAAATCTCCAAAATGCTTCATCATTTTTAAAAAAAATGTCAAATTTAAGTTTTATGAAAGAAAAGATAAATGATTGGAAATGCTCTAACATGTCATTACATTTTAAACTCGCATCATTATATTGAAAACAATACATTATTCAAAGTAAAGAAAAGAAAAGTACCATCCGAGAAACGGACCAGAGACCAATCGACTCATCGAGATCAAGTTCGGCAAATTCACGAAACTCTCCACAAATCCACCGACCTTGCTATCACTCGATCCCTTCGTACCAGTCAAATTCAACAACTTGGGGACCGAAGAAACCGATTCGAGCCCGAAATTGATCGGAAAACTGGGCCGCCTGAGCAAATTGAAGCCGTGGACTCTGGGGAGCAAAACGAGATCGGATTGGACGTAGAGAGGAGTGGAGGACTGAGAGAGCATCCATGGAGGAGAAGAGAGGAAGAGAGGGCCGTGGAAGGGGATGATGGAATTGGAGAGAGGATAGAGAGAGCGAACGCGAGGAGGATGAGAGAGAAAGTGGGAGGGAGATGGGGATGGGAATAAGGGAATAGGAGATGGGAAGGCGAGAGTGAGGAAGATTCTGGAGAGCTTGGTCTTAGGGTTTTGGGAAATTAGGGTTCTCAGAGATCTGTACACCGCCATTAACGACGCATTTTTTTTGTATTTTTTGCTGCGAAAAATGTTTTTGAAGAGAGGAGGGAGGAGACTAGCTAGGGGTTTAGAATGACGTAAGGGGTGACACGTGCCGATGTTTCAACACTGGTCAAGGTAGGAATGGTAATTTGAACCTTGTCCGACGGGAACCGACCTCCTGACCCTGATTAGAACGGATTTTTTCCGAAGATTATCTCCATAGGACTGAAGATGGTATCAAAAATTAAATCTCAACTGTCACGGGCCGACTCCTTTAGAGGCGCAGTGGATCAAATTTTGCCCGTGTGGCGCTCAAACTCCACCAAGTTTAAGCCCGCCATAGCTCATTGACAAATCGAACGTTAATGGTCTCACCCGTTTGAATATTAGGCCCCAATGCTTTGTCAAGCAAGATAACTTCACAAGGAAGCTCCGTCTTCACCAGGATGTCACAAGTAGGCCTGACGCCTCAAGTGCACCAAGCACGGCATAAGTCACTTGATAGCGCCAAGCTTACCTCAAGTAAGCTGTTCGCCCAACTTAGGTTTATGTCATCAAGGTACCTAGCCATACAACACTGTGCTAAAGAAGGTCCTCAACTTAGCCGACAAGCCAACATTGCATGCTGGATCTTTAATAGCGTCTCGAAGCGTCGTAGGGTCAAGCATGCCTCAATAGATGCATAATGGATGGCCACTCGGTCATGCGAAGCCCACAAGCCACCGAGGGTCAATCTCTTACCCACGACGTAGTCCTCGTGCCAACACGTGTGCTAGATTCCGCCTAAGGCCATTGCGCACTTTAGCGTTGCACCAACGTGTAGCATGAGTAAGGCAACATCTCAATCCGTAGCTCGCTCATAGCATAATGTAGTCCCTCAATGGACGTAGTCATTTCATAGCTTGATGCCTTCATTCGATAGCCCACATATGCGGTGTGATTACCCCCATAGGATCGAAGATGGTATTAAAAATTAAATCCCTGATAATTTTCAGGTCGAGAACGGTAATAGGTTCCCAACCCCGGTCCTGCCCCGAACGTCCCTGACAATCCCATATGTATGTATATATGTTTAAGCTTTATTATATATGTTTAGGTTATTATATCTTTTTTTTAATCAGAAGGCTATTATATCTAATATCTAATATCTAATATATTTATTATATCTAATATCTATCAGTTCTCTTTTTTGGGTGGGTAATATCTATCAGTTCTTAACTCTCTCTCTCTCTCTCTCTCTCTCTCTCTCTCTCTGTGAGAGAGATGAATGAACACCTTGAGATGAATGAGCACCTTTAGATTGAAGCCGCAACGGAGAAATCAGAAGAGAGATCGGCAACAGAAGGCTCCTTCCAAATCTGAATCGCAATGAACATTTCTACTTCGTCTCTAGATCTACAGCCACGGTTCTGAGATAATATATACACACACACACACACACACATATATATATACACACTTTGGTTCTCAAGATTTTCACTATATCAATATCATTGATATAGATATATATTTTGTTGTTGTTGATGTTGATGATGATGATAGCTGTTGTTTTGATCTTTTTATTTTTTGTGGCCGGGGAATTTACGGGGTCAGGGAAACCCGATCGGCGATCAGGGCCGGAGTCAGGGGTATTTTCACCATCCGGGATCGGGTACGGGGAGTGTGATCCCCAGCCCCACCCCATCCCGCCCCGTTGCCATTCCTAACTTAGGGGAACAGAAAGGGTTTTAGACTCTCCAAAGTATTTTCACCATCGGGGACGGGGAGTGTGATCCCCAGCCCCGCCCGCCCCCATTGCCATTCCTAGGTCAAGGGTGTTGCTAATTTGACTTTTTGGTAGAACTTTTGAGATCTCTAGTATTATTCTTTTCATAAAAAAATTACTTGGATAATTATAAAAATGTTTGAGAGCTCTAAACCGAGAGCTCTAAAGGAGCTTTCGCCCATTGAATTGATGTTTTAATTTTTAATTTTTAATTTTTTACCTTGCCATCTCATTAAAGAACTTGTTAAAGCTCTAAATTTAGAGTTATGTATCATTGCTCAGATAATTATATGAACCTCTCTAAAAGGATTATTTACGGTTTTCTGTTATAAAATGATTATTTTCATGAATTAAATTATAATTTGGCATTACATTATTTTGAGATGAAAAATGAGGAATGTTTGACAAATGGCGTGCATGTACATTCGCCTTATAATTTTGTTAAAATTCATATACTGTGTTAGAGCATCTAGGTTTTGGCTCACCTTATGTAAAAAAATAACTTTTAAGTGCTGATAATATGTCTCCACCAAGAACGTAACTTGGGAAGATTTGAAGCTAAAGGCTTCATTTTTGTTTATTGATGTAATTATTTTATTTAAGCCTCGAGCTTTACCTATATTGAGCTAAACTCATTTTGTTGTACCTAAGCATCGACTTGGAAAGTTATAGCTATTAGGACATCTAATTATTTGGTTTTCTTTTATTTTAAATTCATGTATCTATGTCACATGCATAGTTCTAAATATCAGCCGGTTCGTACTGTACCGGCCGGTTCGTATTAGAAAATTGGAGTGCCGATTCGGATATGGACCGATATACCGATGAAAATGAAATTTGCAATCGTAGTGGCCAATTCCCGGTACGTATCCGCCTGAATCCGATACATGAGCAATACAATTCCGATACACGTTTGCCATCGCCAGTACAGCTGAAATTGGAGCAGAGAACCTCCTGCAAAAGCAAAAATAATCGTTTGGTACAGTTGACAATGGAGTAGAGCACCTGCAAAAGCAAAAGCAAAAGCAAATGCAGAAAATAAATGAATAACCCATCACATACATGTACATCACTCACTCAGACCTTTGTGGCTTTAAGGGCTTTGTCTTCTTCAAGCAATTTCACACTTTCACGAACCATAAGTTTGATACCAGTTACAGATTTGCAGTTCACATTTCACAATCAAACTTCTCTATGGCTTGGCTCCATAGATCTAAGTTTCTTTCTTTGGGCTATGTGGTAGAGTTCACTTCAACCTTCAACTTGAGAAGACAACAACCTGTAAACAAAAACCCTCAATCAGACCAAACCCAAATCCTCAATCAAACCAAAATCCATCTCCCAGTGGCATCGATCTTGTAAAGTGTTGTAGGGAGAAGCATCAAATCGAACCCAAACCCATCTCCCGGTGGCACCGCTTTCAAGCTTCTTCAAAGAAGGTGTGTTGTCATGCTTTGTTTTGTTGTTGTTGTTGTTGTTGTTGTTGTTCTTTGTTTTGTTTTGTTTTGTTTTGATTTTTTTGTTGTTGTTTTTTTGTAGTTGATTTAAGCCACTGTTCTGTGGTTATATTATGGTATGGGATGGGAGATATTTTAATATATATATATATATATATATATTTATGATTGTTCAAATATTTATATATATATTTATTTTTTAAAATTTTTTTCTCAATTGAGCAAGGAAAAAAAAAACAAGAAAAATAAATATTGAAAGTAAGATCTTTATCTGTCAAAGGCTTGGATCCACAAACAAAGTTAGTGAAAATGTTTGTGATTGTTCTTTTCTTTTCTTTTTTAAAGAGGTTTAATATTTCAGATTTTTTCTTTTTTTTTAAAGAAGTTTAATCTGTCAGATTTTTTATTTCATATTTTTTTTATTATTTCAGATTTTTTTAATCTGTCAGGTTTTTTTATTTCAGATTATTTTTATGTCAGATTTTTTTAAAAGAAATTTCATCTGTCAGATTTTTTTAAAGAGGTTAATTGTTAAGTAAAGATGTTTAATGTTTAGATTTTTTATTTTTATTTTAAATGCATTATTGTTAGTAACTAAATTAGAATTACGATATTTGTCAATTGAAAATTGTTATTGTAGATAATTAAAAGTTATAATGACGCACGGAGTTGGTTCTAGTGGAAAACCTCCAAGTGATGATATTGGTTGGAAATTTGAAATTCCGCTAGAAAATACAAGGCAGAAAATTAGGTGTACATTTTGTGGAAAATAGCTAAATGGTGGTATAACTAGGTTGAAATAACATTTGGCCCATATTAAAGGTCAAGTCACACCTTGTGCTAAGGCCAGTGGTGAAGTTCGGACACTAATGATGGATCATTTGAATAATTATAAGGGCAAAAAACTTGACAAAAGGAAAATGAATGAGGAATTGACAGAACAAATTAGAGCTAGAGAGTGTGATGATGATGATGAAAATGATGAGAAGGACCTAGAAATGGTTATGGCCCGACAAATTAGGGCTAGTAATATTGAGGTTGCACCTCCTCCTGGTTTTGCTCGGTGAAGTCATAGTGTTCATGAGGCTAGTAGAGGTAGGAAACGGATTGATACATCCTCTCCAGAAGTTTAATTATTAGACATAGATGTGGATCTTCATAGGACCAAAGGCAACAAACAATCCAAACTCTCCTCTAGATTCTTGAAAGAAGCAAAGAAAAAATTAGGAAGAGCAGTTAGCCAGTTTGTATTTGTAACAACCCTCATACTGTTTATCGATTAATGACTGATTGATTACCGATAAACATTGATTACCGTTAAACTGAACTGATTATGACTGATAATTGGACTGGTTAAGGTACTGAGCTGACTGAATGAAAACTGGAACTGGATTGAATGAGTACATCTGTTTGAATTGCATTTTTATCTGTTGATTGATTATTTGATCTGTTTGTGTTTTGTGTTTAAACTGCTAATTGAAGGCCTTATCGGCGGCCGAATCGGGGATTGATTGGTGTTTTATGATCCTCATAATTAATGTGATTTTATAGTGTATTTATCTGAAAGTTGATTAGGTATGATTAAATTAGATTAAAACGAGTTAATTGCAAAGTTTGCCGTAATTACCAAATTGCCACCCTTAGTGGCCCACTCAATATAACATGTGAGCCTTGTATACACTTGAAACAAACATTTCCTCAGCCCTTTCTTGAGTCTTGCCGACCTAGAGAGTAGAGAGGGAGAGAAATTGGTTTTTCACCTTGAATTGCTTGGAAACTTGAAGAATTGCTTGGTAATTGAAGTGTAGATTGCTAAATTGGACCTTTAGACTTGCATTCAAGGA